AAGTAGTCTGATGCAGTTTATTAAATTTTAAATACATATTTATCAAGAAATCCTCTCTCGTGCCACGCGGCTATATCACGTGACTCCGCAACAATAACTTTTTTAGCAGTTAATGGACTTATTAATAAATCAACAGATTGAGTTCGAGGCAATATACCATAGCTTTCATTATATTCATATGCTTGTAAAATATACAACAATAGTTGTATAAATTACTATATTCCTTCGGATTTTAATATAGAAAATTCTTTCTGGGCAAGCGATATTCAATTTTTTGTTTTCTATCATTTTAAGGTCTCGGAATACATATTCCCGGAAAGTATAAAAAGCAGAATTACATCAGAGTTCAAAATAATTTGATAGTATGTGCGAACACTCTACCATGAAGTCAATAGTGAGTCGCTATTCTGTAAGCTTGTATACCGTGTGGCCATTTTCATGACAATGACTGATGTCTCGTGTAGCGTGTTTGTTTAATTTTGAGGGGAAAATATCGCATCACCTCGATAGTTCAGTCACACTACATCCCAGACTTAATTCTATACAACTTTTAGTTTCTCTTAAAACTAAAATTCACCGTTGAATATTTTAGATCGGTGACGAGATTAATTAGAACGCAACGAGGCAACTGATGATAATGATGATGATGATGATGATTCTGGAAGAGGATTTTGAATATTGTGAGAAAAATAAAGATTTAGTTATAAACAAAGAAAAGAGTTCTGAACTGTTATCTAACATCAGTTCTCCTATATGGCTGTGAATGCTGGACAATCTCCTCACAGATAAAAAAGAGATTTGGAACAACAGAACTATTACTACAGATGGATGCTGAGAATACCATAGACCGAACATGTGAGCAACAACGAAGCTTTAAAGAAAATGGAAAAAAAAGAAGAAAAAAAAAAGAAACGACACATACTGTTGTGGAGTGGTTTCACAGTGGAGGCTTGTATTTGTACTAAGTTGATCCTAAAATAGGTTCGACGTACAAAACGTTAGGAACTTGATATAATAGGTATAACGCAGAGTAATCTAGTTGTGGTCGCTGATACTTTAGTATTCGACTAACTGTTGTGCGACATCGACTGACTGACCGACTGACTCACTTGTTACTCTTACTACTCCTACTTATTATAGGTGGGAGAGTCTATTAACTATAGAATAGGTGTGATTCACCATAACATATACCAAACATCAGGAAGAGACGGTTGTAATTTCTAGAGCACATAATGAAGAAAGAAGGTTTGGAAAATTTGATACTCACAATACAGAGTGAAGGCAAGAGGAACAGAGGAAAAAAACGTATAATCTACCTAGCGGGTTTGTGTAAATGGGTGGCGGAAAAAAGTTTAGGGGAGATAATCAAAAAACAAAAGTTGTTAAGAAGAGATACAAAAAAAGGCAGGAAATTTTAGAGAGCTATGATCGTCCTGAAGGGAAACGATAAATAAAGAATGGACACAGCAATAAGTCTCATGAGGCTATACTTTGATGTGACTAAGGCATCATTTCCCTTGGTAGCCTTATTTTTATTAATATTAAATGTCTGACAGATATCAATTATATAGGCTAAACTGTTAGCGAACACAATTTAGGGTGTTACTGAAGTTTGTTTAGCTAAAACGTCGCTACGCTAGAAGTAAATAGTTATTTGCTGAGATTAGCTTAGTCTGGTACAAGGCAAGTTAGTAAGAGATCAACTAAAGACCGAAGACACAAGATTTTACTGGGAGTGAAAGAGAATGAGGAGATTTCAGTAACGAGAAAGGACAATAAAAGAACAGAATTCAGGAAGAAAGATGATAGCGATTGGCGTTGCATTTAAATTTTTGAAGATTATAGGTGGCAGAGAAGCAAGACACCGAAAAAATTCCACAGGCGGGAAGTGTGAGAAATGGAAGTTATTAGAATGGAACATACAGTTACATCTAGCTAGTTCAACAGTAAATCCGTGGATGCTAGTTGATAAATCTAGTAATACGCCGAATTAAATTCATGTAGTTGAGACAGGAAGGAGGGAAAGCTTATCAAAATAATTGTCATGTAGAAACAACAGAGGTAAGATACGTCACATCGCTATTAAAATGAGTGAAGTCGAAATTCTTGGTCAAGATCGATTACATTACAGACCGTTCTTTGGATTTTGTCAAGAAACTTGAGATACATAATAGGAACAGCAGACCAGATATGGCAGCAATATTCAATACACAGGCGAATGGTGGATTTATAAATGTGCATAATGGATTCTGACGAGAAAAATTGTCTGGCACGACACAGTGAACCAACTTTCCTAGCATCAGGCCTAGCATTTGATTCAATATAATCACTCCACTTCATTACATTGGAAAACGTGAACCCAAAAAGGTGTAGAGTGTTGGTCCCCTGGAGGTTAGCATCAGTCATATTGATGGCACGCAGAAAAGGTTCTCTGTGGTGATAAAATGATAAGTTTTGTTTTGGAGGCGTTAAAATTAACAAGTCATTCCTTACTTTGTTGGACAGATTTATTCAGTAGTATTTATTATAATAAGCAATTATAACTATCTGATATAATGGATATGATGGTGATATTTTTTATGAAACTCTATGGCATTTGCTAGATTAAGTTTTCAGTGTTAAATGTGCCAAATCATGTGTGTCTGCGTGAGTAAAATCATTGTGTATTTTATATATTTATTCCTTAATTATCTTCATGTCAGTGGAAAACGTGAGCCCGATAAGGCGCAAATAGTGTCTTTCCTGGAGGTTAGCATCAGCCATACTGATGGAACTCAGAAAAGATTCTCTATGGTGATAAATGATAGCAGTTTTATTTAGGAGGCGTTAAAATTAACAAGCCATTCCTTGCTCCAGTAAATCACTTATTTGAGATCATTTCTGCATTTTTGTTTTAAATTGTATCATCAGTTTATAAGCAGTTACATGAATATACAAAAAGAAATGAAAATATGCTACACCACAGGAAATGGAGAATTAAATATTACAGACGGGATCTGAGCATTAACAGTGGCGAAATCAGATTGTGACTTAAGTATCTGCAATTTTAATAACCAAATTTACTGTTTTTTTTTTAATGCATTAACGTAATGTTGCTTTTTCGAGCGGTTGTCGTGAAATGTGAGAATAAGTGAAAGATGATTCGTTTCGAGAAAATGAAGGAGGCTGTGTTTTCAACAATCATTTATCATAACTTAACCAGTAACCATTTGGAGAAAAATAAAAAACGTTAAATATCACTTGAATTAAAACATTCGTTCGAAGAAGAAAAAAATACTGAACGGTTACGTAATATCAGTCCCTCCTATATGGCAGTGAATGTTGGACAATCTCCTCACAAAGGAAGAAGAAACTTGAAGCAGCAGAAATGTGGTTCTACAGAAGGATGCTGAGAATACCATGGAATACGTGAGCAGCGACAAAACAAAAAAGGACAGTTAAAATTATCATCAGAAATAAGCAGTTGATATTTTTAGGGTACATAATGAGGAAAGATGGCTCGGAAAATTTGACACTCACAGGACAGTTTGAAGGCAAGAGGGACAGAGGATTAGCAGCGCTTGCGTAAATGAATAGCAGAACAGGGTTTAGGAGAGATAACACGAATACAAAATTAATTAAGACCTGCAAAGGACAGGAAATTGTGGAGAGCCACGATCGCCCTGAATAGAAACGGCACATAAAAGAAGAATTTACATACAATCCTTAACGCAGTCATGGAACATGGCTACAATTATTTTAAATATATTATAGACATAATGATGCATAATACTGCTGTTGAACACAAGCTAAGTTGGTGAGGCTGATTAAAATAATACAGAAGGCCTTCGTTTTAATAAATAATTCTTTTTAATGAACACTGAACAGTCTCACCAGTAGAATAAAAACGCATAAAGAAATCTAATGTCTAATCATTGAGATGCAGTCTTCTGTTACGTTTGTAAGTTTCGATATTACAAAATACCTAGAGTAATAAGTTTTAAAACTAGATCACCTCTGACCCGTTGGGTCAACCTTGTTGTGTTTACTTTTTACATTTAGTTTCATGAACAGTTGGTGAAAGTAGAGATATTTTAAAAATACATTTATTTGCAGTTATTGAAGTTACTTTCAACATTAAAAAATTGTCTGTTTCAAGAAAGTTGAACAGTAAGAGGTTGGAATGTCAAAATTCGGAGTGTTGGGATTCGATACAATAACATCAAATATTGTAACGGGGCTGCGCGTAATTCGTCCGTTTAGAATAATCAAACGATTTTCATTGAAAGAATAAAATTCAGTAGAAAAGACAACGTAGTTTCAACAAATGAACATTAATTTAATATAGCGACAGGAATACAAGCAATTGGTCATAGATTGGAAACAAATGTATTTTGTTTGGGTTAAGAAAATTCAGAAATAAAATATAAATTCTCTTTGTGTGCGTATGTAAGAAACAATGAAATTTTGTTATATGTGTGTTTGTATGAAAAAGTCAACACGTGTGTGCATAGTTCATAGTAAAGATAGAGATAGAATTTGTTTCTTACTGTGGACAGTGTTGCCGTATTCTGAAGCGGTCTCGCTTTTAGCATGAGGTCGTGTAGTTCAAAAGCGAGAGTGGCGTGGACCTTGATGACAGCTGTGCGTATCCTATTTGGGGTTAGATTTCGTGTGTTTTATGCACTTTCTCGTAAGAAAATCGGCTCCATCCCCCACTTCCTACATGATAAATAATTTACACCTTTCTTTTCCCAGCTCTCTATATATTACTTCTTTATATCTTTCTTTTCCCTACTCTCTATATATGACTTCGGACAAACACACAAGATACAGAGTTCATAGAGTTTTATATAGTAATAAGATGTTATATAATGTAGGACACAAAAGTCTGTAGAAACTGGAATAATTAAGCCTAAATAGACTACTAATATAAGTATTCATGCCACACTAATATCTCTAGTTACGCATTTTCTATTCATGATTTTTTTATATTTGTTTTGTGTGATAGAAATCAAGACTTAGTTTTGTCTACTCTTTGTAGATTTTTCAGTGTTTTTTTATTATTAAAACAACAGATAGATAGATAGATAGATAGATAGATAGAAAATGATTTTAAACTTAAAACAAGCAAATAAAAATTATCCATAATAATAAGAAAAGAGTATCTGCCTTGAAAATAAAAGAAAGCCCGACTAAAGTGGAATTCATAAAAAACAAGCATAAGTAAAAAATGTGTTAAATCAATTACACGCTGACTTAACGAGTACGCACCCCTCGTCAAACATGAGTCACTTAAAAAATAAAAATGGCGCTCTGTGCACCCTTACATTTAATATCTAACGGAACTTTTTCTCCAATTGTCAAACCATTTCTGCTTTGTTTGCTTGTCTTAAAACAAAGAAAAAAATAAGACTTTATTAAAAAAACAGATGTGTGTCTTTGTTGCTGCCAATAAAGTCAGAGACGATGTCGATGCAAAACAAAACAAAAAATTGTAGAAAGGACTTTTTTTAATCCAAGTGACAGATGCGAAAAATAGAAAGGAGAAATACGGGAGTATATTTGGAACTGGAATAAAAATAATAATAATAAAGTGGAAGAGAATCATATCCGGGTGTCCAGAGGATGTGTTAAGGTTTGAAACACATGGAAGTCACGTTCAGATACTTGGGAACACGTTCAATCGAAAACCATCTGAGCGAAGAGGGCTACCTGAACTGAAGGTATTTCTAACTGGTCACCACCTGTAAGTTTTTCTTCTGCTTTTATCAAAGCCTATCACTACATTGACCTCATTTGTAAGTGGTGTATGTACCTAGTATGCCCTGATCATACACGGATCATGATGGATTTCGAATGTCTGTACACCAGAGTAACTTTGTTGGCGTGCTGCTGCTCTCTCTCTCTCTCTTTCTCTTTCTCTTTCATTCACTCACTCATTTCTCTCACTCACTCAATAATACTAAAATTAAATGAGAAATTGGAGTCCAACAAACCCGGGCGTATTCATGGAAGATAAAGAAGGATCAATCATTGATCCATTGTGTCCTTTTGATCCAAGGACAAAGCAAATGGAAGAAAGAAAGTAACCAATTATGATTCATGGACGATTGAATTAGCAATGCTTTGGAAGTCGAAGAAAGTCAAAATCATACCAGTTGCCATTGGTTCACTTGGTACGGTGACTGACAGAACAGAATCATGGATAATGAAAATTGATATTGTTTGAAGTGTGGCAGAACAAGAGTCAGAGGAGAGTTGCATGATACCCGTAGCTGCTGGTTGTGGCCCATTATCCATGCATTAATTGCCAGACATTAATTTCTTACCTGAGAAAATACTGAAATAATGATACTTTATTAGAGAGTTAAGAAACTCGTGAAACATAAATGTGAAACTCGTCTCCTTCTGGAAACTTCATTTCTGCTGTCATTTAATCAGTGTGAGCCACCATGTAAATAATATTTATTTTCTGTATTTTATTAAAAAAATTATTATTATAGTTAGTTTGATCAGTTCGATAGGATTAAATTGACAGCTGATCTAAAAAATGACCTAAAGTCTGTTTGGTTTGGTTTGGTTTGTTTTACAGCATATCAACCTCAATGGATTATTTAATGTCAACAATATTTTTATTGTTAGTAATATTTCTTTCCAAAAATGTATTGCTGCTAATACTTTTTCTTCAAAAATTTATTGCTGCTAATATTTTTTTTCAAAAAATGTATAGCTGCTAATTTTCTTTTTCAAAAATGTATTGCTGGTAATACATTTTTTCAAAAAATGTATAGCTGGTAATTTTTTTTTCAAAAATGTATTGCTGATAATATTTTTTTTACAAAAAATATTTCTGGTATTAAAACCTATTTTTACACTTCATAGTGTTTTGACCCCAATTTATTGGTTAACTATTTGCCCATAGCTGGAACCCTAACAGGTGCTACCACCCCGGGTTAAAGTGGTCCTGGGAACACCAGTGATTAAGAGGCAGTTCCACGCTCCTCAAAACCTGCTAATCAGAGACTTTGCTGTCGGACGTAGTTTATCGTCTTACCCAAGACGCAGATTTTTTTTATCGTCATACCCAGGACGGTAAAGTCTGTTGTTAACGGGAGCAATGAATGGCTTGTTAATTTTAAAGCCAGCAAATCGAAACTCTTATCTATTAATCACCTGAAAATGCCCTACCTGCCTTCCATCAGCATAGTTGATACTAACCTTCAGTGACTCGTTGCGCTTTCTCAGTTTAATTTTCTCGGCTGACATGAAATGGAAAGGTTATATTGAATGCATTACTCAGTCTGCTGCTAAGAAAGTTGATTCCCTGTTTTGTGCTAGACAAAGTTTTTCTCTAGAATCTATCTTACATATTTATAAGTCTATCATTCGTCCATGCTTTAAATATTACTACCACATATGGCCCGGAGCTTGTTCTTGATAAAATTCAAAGTAAAAAATCAGCAATATTATTGGTCCTAAACTGGCGTCTCGGCACCAGTTACTTTATCACTGTCATAATGTCGCATCCCAGTGTCTTTTCTATAAATACTTTCATGGTAATTGTTCGGATGAACTCTTCGTTATGGTACCGAGGCTTTATGAATTTAGCGCAGTACTAGATTGGCGGCAAGGTCCCATGAATTCGCAGTTGAATTGCCGAGATGTAACAATAAATTCTATGCTAACAATTTCTTTTCACGCACTTCTCGTTTGTGGAAATCCTTTCTGGCTTCTTGTTTTCCAGTCAACTTCAATCTTCAAAAATTTAAATGCAAGGTCAATCGTTATCTGCTGTCTTCTTGATTACTCTTCTATTGTTCTTACCGTTTAATAATGTTCCTCTTTTTTTGTTCTTTCACAGTCAGTAACTACTTGTGTGTTAATGGCTTTACTGCCTTGCACGGGCATAATTAGAAAGAGACTTGCTGTCGAGCTTAGCGGCCCTTAAGCAAGATTAATTTTTGACGAGTTCTGACGTTTAAGAATTATTTGTTTTTATCATTTTCTATTTTGGCAGCCACAAACAAAAATAATTCTAAATGTTGCTGTTGCATTGTATTTGCACAAGGGTGATATACCGGCGTATTTCAACGTATATACCGTACGTATTTCAATCTTGTAAGTCGAATAAAGAAAGTATACATATTTAATATATATATATATAAATATTTAATATTAATATTTAAGAAAATACTGAAGTTAAATATCAAGTGTGGGAATAAAATAAAATACAAAATTAAATAAAAGTATAAAAATAATAAAATAAACATTAAAATCTCCCAAGAGTCCTCTGACAGGAAAGACAAGTTACGCAGGTGCAAAAATAAAGAATAAAAAGAGCAGACGTTTTAAAAAGAGCAGACGCTTAAAAAGAGCAGACGCTTAAAAGAAGAAACGCTGGGGCTTTTTCTGTTGGACCATTGACTGGTGAATACGTACCAACTGTTTTGGGAGGAAATTCCCCAACAAGAGGTCGTTGGAATCCAAAAGAAAGAAATAAAATCAGTCCTAAACAGTCCCTCCATTGTCTCCGCATCCTTCCGTCTTTTCTCTATCTATTTATTTCAGCAACGGAGGAAATTCAACAAGTTTCTAGGTGAAATAATCAATCCAGCACTAATAGCCGTAACATCTATAATGGTGACCCCGACGTGATACCTACACTCAAGTTTTCCGTGATAAAAAAACAAAAAAAAAAAAAAAGAACAAAAAACAATTAAATACGCGAGTAACTGCTTTCATCCTTTTATCGCACTCACACACACACACACACACAAAAATATATTTTTATTAACTGTTAACACAAATACGTTCCGTCCAGCAGAGATTTGTTTTTTTAAGCGTCTGCTCTTTTAAAAACGTCTGCTCTTTTTATTCTTTATTTTTGCACCTGCGTAACTTGTCTTTCCTGTCAGAGGACTCTTGGGAGATTTTAATGTTTATTTTATTATTTTTATACTTTTATTTAATTTTGTATTTTATTTTATTCCCACACAAGTTGTAAAACAAGAGAATCTGGACCGTTCAATTCAAATAAAAATCTTCAATTCTTATTGGTTGGAAAATTGTGACGTATATGTTAGGCTACTCCAGTAATCTTCAAGGACAAATGTCAGTAATTAGATTTCTTCTTTCCTTAAACGTGAAGATAAGATTGTTGTGCCATAACTCTTTTTCAGAACATTTTTAAAGGGAGGTAAAATAAAGTAACACATGCCGATAAACACTATCATTGCATTGCATTGCAAACCTAGAATGCACGCACATAACTGTAACTATTTACTAAACTTAGACTGGTCTTTCAACCACCTGATGAACATTCATGAACGTTCTCAAATTTAAAAGCCTTGATAAACCAATGACATCCTCGCCTTTGTATATAAACACGTACAATAAAATAAACCCCACATTGTTTTGCTAAAGTCCCCAAGAGAATAGTTTTTCCTCTTCACTCTTTTTATTAATTTTGTTTCTTTACAGATACACTCTATCTCAAAATAATTTGCATATATATATATATATATATATATATATATATATATATATATATATATATATATATATATATATATATATATATATATATATATATATATATATATTACGGTTACGTTGTTTGATTTTACATGTCAAACGTTGTTGGGTTATTTAATGTCGAATGATTACTACCAAAGTTATATTTGGTGGAGATATATGTTTGGGTAGACTTTCTTGTTTTTTAAATAGTAATTACGAGTCAAGACGAGTCATAACCAGAGGTTGAAGTTGGACTCAATTTACTTGAAAATTCGGTCCAAGTCCGGTCCTAAAAGTCCAGCTCCAACTTCCACTCCTGACTAGTAGTTTGATTGAAAACGCATTCAGTCAGTATATTTTGTGCTTGGGTCTGCGCATAAGACCAAAGAAAACAGAAGAAACAATTTTAGGTTCAGTTCCAAATTCTTTGATCATATGGTTACTTTTTTTTTATTTTAACATTTGACTTGATTTGAATTGAGTCGAGTCTTGCGTATCAGTGCCTTCGAGTGAACATAGAAAATTGTGATTTTCCGACCAAGGGGCACGAATTTCGGTATGAATTTTTTTTTTCAAATTTTGTGTTTATTTAAAATTTAAATTTATTGTGAGGCATTCGAATACAATAAA